GCTCTACAATTGTAAAGTCGGACAGTATACCTAAAGCAGTTGTTAACTCCATATCTTCCTACAATCTTGTTCAACCAACATGGTCGACTTCCTATTCCAGCAAAAAATTTTCATTAAAATGTGATTGGAAGTTGTTATCATCTACAAACAGTCCTTCAACTTATAGCACCTATCTTCCAAATTTGACACCTACTATAAAGAACTTGTCAAATGATTCTGGCTATATGTCTCATATCAATTCCCAGTCTTTCCTGAATGCCTCTACTCCCTACCATACCCCATACCCTGTTCATTCCCCCCGACATGATGTTTACAGACCTCGTTTTAAACAGCCGGTGTTCTACCCGGGTACTCCATCAAAGCAGGTTAATCATGTACATCAAGTTAACACCCCCAAAAATTCCCCCCAACATACCTTTCAAAAACCTCCAGTCGATCATCGTCCTTCATCGGTTGGTCCCTCCCCCCCTTCCTCACCCAAGTCATCTAACCCGCCTGATCCCGAACTCCCTCATACCTCATCCGATACCGTCCTATCCACCCCTGACCCTCATGACCCCCCTATATCTGAACCTTCCCTTACACCAAATGATTCCCTTAATTCCCATCCCTCCCAGTTATCTCATGCCTCCCCTCCATCTAACCCGCCCGAACCCCCTAATACCTCATCCGAGAATCCCTTATCCACCCCTGACCCAAATTACCCTCCTATTGACCCCCATATACCCGAACCCTCCCCCACATTAAATGATTCCCCTAACTCTCACCCCTCCCATTCACCACCTGCCTCCCCCCAATTACCTCCCGGTGTCCCTCCTGTAACCGAAACCCTTCATACATTACCTGAGACCTTTCCCCCTAATTCCGAATTTACCCGCATCGAACCCCCCGAATCCCATCCCCCCCCTGCTGATCCTTCTGATGGTGTTGCTAAGAAACCTAAATATAAAAAGAAGAAAAAGTCGCATCAAAATAAGAACCCCCCAATTTCAGTAACCCCTGCAACCCTTCCACCCCCCTCCCAAATTCATTCAGTAAAACCTACCTGTCAGTCTTCTGCCTCCAAAGTCGCTGAGAATCTTGATACCTGCTCAGTAAAAATTTTATCTTCTCCTCATAAATTCGTTATTGCTGATTGTTCTAAGGATGGTGATATCACTACCGAACTTACTCCGAATACACCTGAATTTGACGCTCAGAACGAGTCTTTCATCGCCACTCCCAAAGATCTCCCTGTAAATTCTGATGGCCTTCTTCCTACAAATCTCATCGCTGATAGAATGAACATCATGGGCAAATGTCGTCTTTGTAATACCGATGTCGAATCCTTTAACGCTGATTTCCACCTGTTAGAATGCAGAAAAATCGATCAAAATGACATTGAGGACCTTGCTTTTGAATTTGCAGATATTACAAACAATTCCTATTATGAAATAGTTAATATTATATACGACTATTGTAATTATGTAATGCACGATGAAGATGTTTCTTACCTGTTTCCTAAAGTTTCTATTTTTGCCAAATTCTTGAATAACATTGAACTTCTTCTTGATCGGAAAGCATCTAAAGTTTTTAAAAAGAAAGAAATATCCGGTCAACAAATGCGTTTCAATATCCTGAACTATAAACTCTAGACAATGAACATATGAAGTAACTTTTCAAGTTATTCCATGATAGTAGTATCTTATCATCTATGTCAGTAGACTTCTCATAAAGCACCTATCTAGTCTTTGTAATCCTTAAATTCTCTGTAAAATTCATTTATGAATAAATTTATTACGATCTGTTCTTATCAGCTTAATATCTGATATGTTAGGCAATGCCTAACTCATATATTAAACTGATTTTTGGACTTCGGCCATGGGATTGAAGCTTGCTTCGCCCTGTCCACGGGTTGTCTCGGTATTGCACTACTTCCGAGTACGGCCCCTTCCCCACTCGGGGAAGAACATTTCTTTTATTTCAAATCAAACTATAAAGCAATCTCTAGTTTATTAGACGATCACACACACACTTAATTACTTTTCACATGCCGATAGATTTATATTAACACCATACTCGAATACCACGTGAAATAATATATCACGGCTTTCTCATGCATATATAACATACATATATATCATATGACTTGTAACACTTTATTATTTATCCTATGTTGATATTTCACACCTTGTGAGCGTGTTTTCATTCGGCTATGAACCGAATCAACTACATCTAATTTTACTAGCATACTTTTTCATTCTCTAGATCGCGGCACATGACGTTCAAGACAAGAGGGAAACCCCCGAACTACCACAATCGCGTCTCATCATCATCGCGTATATAAGGTGAGCGCCGTAAACAACAGCATACTTACCTGACGCGAGGTACTTTCTTGCGTCAGGTTCTTCGCACCTGCTGAGTGAGGATCTATGCTTGGAACACGGTCCATAACTCGCTCACAGGTTATTTACTAGCTGCAGTTCTTTGTGCAGACACGCCCTCTTCTTTGTTCTGTCTTCCGGTTGACTGGCCAGCCTAACTTGTTGGGCATTTAGGTAGCAACTAGTCCAGTTCTTTTTCTTTTTTTGACTGCTTGCCTCGTTCTTCGGATCGTGGTCAAGTAGTTTTCCTGGCTGTGGGACTGGGTGGTTAGCACCCAGCACAGTTTAAGGCCGCCAGTACCAGTTTTTTGTATATATAATTAGGTAGTGGTGACTAGTGTGTTTTCTGGTTGTTTTCCTGTCGAGTGGTCTGACTAGGGGACCATTCAAAGGAAGGTTGCCTTTTGCTGTTCTTTGTCGTTGCTTCTGTTGCAGACTTGAGGTCTTGGACCAATATAGTCTGTTCCCTGGCACTCGTTCTTTGGCAAAGGACAGGTTTTTGTAAATATTTAGTGCGCATGCGCAGTTGTTTTTTGTAGTTTTTGGCAAGGTTTTTGCTCTTTATTAGGGAGAGCTCTTTGCATTCTACCTGTTTGCTTGTCTGTTTGTTTTAAGACAGGTACACGGGTGCTCTTTGTTGGTGTATTAGTAGGTTTTTATTAGTTTTTCCACGTACTCTGTGAACGTTGGTCGCCTTTTAGGGGTTGTACTGACTGAAGTAGTTTTATTTGGTTTTTTGCTAATTTACCTGTGTGTTTTGTGTCGCAGTTACATCTCTGTCGACAGTTTTTATAATACACCTTTTATAAACACACATTTTTAAATTTATAACTATGGCAAGTCGCCCATTTACTAAAGAGGATTTTGCCAAATGGAACACCACAACATCTGTGTTCCATGTGCCCAAACGTTTGGTAGGTAAGGGCAAAATTCCTCAGCTAAGGGCTGATTTTGTCAAGGCAATTGGCGCGGACAGGGTTTCGGCAGTCCAGATCTTGCCAAACCATAAGGTTCGTGTTCAATTTAAGTCCCCCTCTATACGTGTCAGGTATGAAATCAATGGCCTGTCATTTAAGGGGGTAACTCTAACGCCATTCCCCGCCTATGAAGAGGTGAAGTCGGTCTTTGTTGATCGTGCTCCGCTTCAAATGGCGGATAATTATTTATATGAGGCATTGGCGCCATACGGTCGAGTGATTTCCGTGCAACACCTGACTGTGCGTGGTTTTCCGACCATCAAAACCGGCACTCGAATGGTGTCAATGTCTGTGAATACACCAATTCCTGCAGAGTTGAAGGTTGCTGGATTTACTTTGGCCTTTAGATATAGGGGTCAACTTCCAACTTGCTATGTATGCCAGGAGGTGGGGCATACAGCAAAGGAGTGCCCTAAGTCTCGAAAGGCCACAAGAAAGCAACCTGTTCGAAATCAGACTGGTGCACAGTCTGCCTCTAGCAGTAACAGTAAACCCTCCCAGCAGCGTGATGTGCCTCCTTCAACATCAAAGGAGTCACCTGCTTCCTCAAAGCCACCTGCTGACCTGAGGGAAAAATTAAATAAGGCTAGAGCTTCAGAGGAAGCTCGGAAGGTGCAACCTCCTCGCACACCAGTGTTAAGAGAGGTCCAAGTAGCTTTTGAAAAATCACCGCGTGATTTACGGGATAAGTTGATCGCCCGTCGCAACGCTACTCCCTTGGCCCCTTCCACTCAAGCCTTTGACCTAGATTTGTCCGTTAGTTTGCCAAAGACAGCTACATCATCATCTTCAATGGTGACTGACTTTGGTCGTAAAGTCACGGCAAAGCCAGGCAAACAGTTGGAAGTTGTTGTGTCCAACCCGGCTGCTGCTGCCCGTAAACAGGGCAAATCTAGGCATGTCTCCTCTAGTAGTGAGGAGAGTGATGATAGTTTGGCAGAGATGTCAGTTACTCCAAAGCCTCGTTCAAAGCGTGTTAAGCGTTTTGAACAGTCCCACACACCATCTGGACATGGGGCGTGGTGTAGTAATAACATTGCGGCCTCTCTGGGCCAAACTAATAATACCACAGAGGATTGTCTTGATGGATCCACTGTTATTGATCCAATTGCACCATTAGACGTCATTCACACGGATGATGCAGAGGAGATGGAGGCCCAGTCTGCGCCTGTGCCAGAATTGCCGCCGACTGTCTCATCTTCAGTGTTTGGTGCTGACAATCCATCAACTTTTGTAGCCGAATCCACTGCGGATTCGGTGAGTCCTAGCGATCCACACTGTCATTCGTGTCCCCCTCAGGACATTCCTTTGCCAGAGAAGGTGACACTGGAAGAGGCCAATTCGAACTGCGGTCCTCTTACCGAGGATGATATGTTGTTTGATTTTGAATCAGATCACAGTGGGTCCGATGTAGAATCTTTGTCAGGGGCCAGTACGACTTCAAGTCTTGCGGAAGCCGCTGAACTTACTGAACATCTCCTTCAAGATGCTGGCAATGCTTCGCACAGTCTGGAAGATGCTGCCACATTGTGGCAGGCACTTGACAAAGTATCAGCTGAGAAGGAAGATGTTTCCTCTTCTTTAGACCATTAACATTCAATCTCTTATCGTTGAATGTTAATGGTCTAAGTGACCGTTTAAAAAGAACCGCACTTGTGGACTGGCTTAAGTGCATGAGGGTTGACTTTGCGTGTCTCCAGGAAACGCATGCCTCATCGCACGAGTCCAT